TACTACTACTACTACTACTACTACTACTACTACTACTACTACTTCTACTAATACTACTACTACTACTACTACTACTACTACTACTACTACTACTACTACTACTACTACTACTACTACTACTACTACTACTACTACTACTACTACTACTACTAGTACTACTACTACGAAGACAACTACTAATACTACTACTACTACAACTATGACTACTACTCTCACTACTACTACTACTACTTAACACGGACTACTTACTACTACTACTAATCCACTACTTACTTTTTTCTGTTTTTACTACTATACTACTACTACTACTACTACTACTACTACTACTACTACTACTGCTACTGCTACTGCTACTGCTACCTACTACATACTACATACTACATACTACCTACTACCTACTACCTACTACCTACTACCTACTACCTACTACCACTACTACTACTACTACTACTACTACTACTACTACTACCACTACTACTACCACTACTACCACTACTACTACTGATACTACTACTACGGCGACTACTACTACTACTACTACTACTACTGCTGCTACTACTACTACGACTACTACTACTACTACGGCTACTACTACTACTACTACTACTACTTCTTACTACTATGGCTACTACTAAGATTGAGACTCCACTGGTAAGAGTATTGGTAAGGAACGAGCAGGTTAATCCTAGTACTAGTAATGGAAGTAATTGTAATAATAAGAAGAATAATGCGATTAATAATATTAAGAAGAAGAAAGCACATACTAACAACAAACACAAAACATGAGGAGGAGGAGGCGGAGGCGGAGACGGAGGCGGAGGCGGAGGAGGAGCAGGAGCAGGAGCAGGAGCAGGAGCAGGAGCAGGAGCACGAGCACGAGCAGGAGCAGGAGCACGAGCACGAGCACGAGCAGGGAGGCGGAGGAGGAGGAGGAGGAGGAGGAGGAGACAAGAGGCAGTTGGCAGGAGGCAGGCAGCAGGCAGCAGGGAGCAGGGAGCAGGCAGCAGGCAGCATGCAGCAGGCAGCAGGCAGCAGGAGGCAAGAGGCAGGAGGCGGAGGCAGGAGGCAGGAGGCAGGAGGCAGCAGGAGGCAGGAGGCAATAGGAGGAGGAGGAGAAGGCGGAGGAGGAGGAGGAGGAGGAGGCAGGAGGCAATCGGAGGAGGAGGAGGAGGAGGAGGAGGAGAAGGCGGAGGAGGAGGAGGAGGAGGAGGAGGAGGAGGAGGAGGGAGAAGGAGGAGGCAGGAGGAGGAGAAGGAGGAGAACTTCAGTTTCCTTGATCTTGGCGGTTTATAAGAATCATGTGACTCTTCTAGGCGGCGGCCGCTCGGATCTCTGGTTTCGCTGTGGGCGTGTGTGTGCGCGCGAGAAAACAAAGAGGTGGAGAGGGAGGGGAGGGAGAGGCAGGAACCAGGAAGCAGGAAGCAGGAAGCAGGAAGCAGGAAGAAGGAGGAGCCCAAGATGGCTCGAAACGCGGACACGTTGGTCGAACGCGCCCAAGATGGCCTCCAGATGGCCCGCGCGGCTTTCAACGCAGCCCAAGGGGTCTCCAAGAGCACCTCCACAAGGGCCCCAGAAGCCAAAATCATTGGCTTCCCTTTGGTTTTGCGCGCATTTCAGCGCTCCTGCCTGTTCAGCGCCCCGACGCTCCAAGACGGTCCCGGACACCAAAATATCGCCCCAGCCAGCCCCCACGAGGGCGCCGCCCAAGACAACCCCAACACGGCTGAAAAGGGCCGGGAGAGGCCCCCTAGAGGGCTACAGTCACCGAAATATCGTTCTAACGCGCCCAAGATGGCCTCCAGATGGCCCACGAGGCTTCCACACAGCCGAAGGGGTCTGGAACAGCACGCCCACAAGGGTCCCAAGAAACCAGAATCATTGATTTTCCTTTTTGGTTCTTGATGCATTTCAGCGCTTTTGCCTGTTCCGCTTCCCGACGCTCCAAGACGGCCCAGGACACCCAAATATTGCCTGACAGGCCCCCACGAGGTCGCCGAGACGGCCAAGGGGCGCCCCCAGAAGGCCCAAGACACCCCCAAAACGTATGAAACGGCCCCAAGAGCCTCCAAGAGGGCTACAGTCGCAGAGATATCGATGTAACGCGCTGGCCCACAAGGCTTCCAACACGGCCCAAGGGGTCTCCCGGTACATTCCCAACAGAAGGCCCCAAGAAACCCAAATCATTGATTTTCCTTATTTTTTTGGGGGGGTGGCACTCTGGCGTCTCTGCTTGTTCCGCCTCCCGACG